CCTTCGGTCTGAATTAGCCAGAGTGCCCCATTTCCTGGCTATGGACCTAGTGTGGGAGAAGTTAGGGGGAAGATTTTCCCAGCAGAATGACATTTAATCTACAACTTGGAGAATAAACCAGAGCTCTTCAAAATGGTTCAATAGTACCATTACCAGTTGTACAGTACTTGCAAAAATTATCTTTTATTTTGTTTTATTTGTTCAGTTTCAAAACAGTATAATAGTTAAAAGTACAGATTCTGGAGCCATAGCAATTGTGTTTATAGCATGTCCGTCACTTTCTGGATATATGACCTCAGGCAATTTGCTGAATTCCTATGCTTCAATGTCCTCTTTTATAAAACGGATAAAATAATATCTTCCAGAGACACTAAGAAGTCAGTGATTAGTACGAACACGCTACATTGTTTGCTGTTACGCTTTTCAAACCTTGCCAGGGGTCTGCAGAATCCACCTGTGCTAATGCATCACCCCACCTTTCCGGAGGAGATCGAAGCACATAAGGGTAGACACTGTGCCATTTTCTTTTCAGAATCTAATGTTTTAGGGGAGGAGACTGAGGACATGTGATTTTTTGTTACATATTCTAGGTCATCTTTTATTTCCTACTTGTGTACTTGTGGGTTTCTTTTAGAGGGTCAATATGTTACTAGGGTAGGCATGTTGTTGGTCACTTTTAATGAGTTTGTTTGACATACTGGTATAGCTAGCTATTTTTCAGTTTTGTTTATTTCTTCCCATTAGGAGAGGTTCTTTTCCATTATATTGTTGACATGTTTTTCTGCTCTATTATATTCATCCAGAGGAGCCAGTGTTTTCCTTTCAATTACAAATTGACTCAGTGAGTTCACTTGACCTTTTACATGAAGAGCAGCAGGTGCTTATGAGCAAGGCAGCAGATTATGATGCCTACCATCTAAGGGAAGCCTGGGTCTGGATCTGTCCCTGTTTTCCTTCAGACACCCCATGACCTCTCCCACGTGGGCTGACGCAGTGCAGCGGTGGGAGGCTGTGCGATCCTGTGGGATCTGCTTGGTTGCTCCCTGTCTCTTCTTTGTCTCCCCACTACCCTGTTTGGTTTTGTTGTCTTGGCTTCGTTTGGAGCAGTCCAGCACTTCACTTACACTGGGTTTTATTTAGTGATTAATGCAGCTCTGAGCTTTGGCCACCAGTGAGCCCCAGATCTTTAAGCATCAAAGAAATGATGAAGTCTTAACTGGGCCAAGAAACTCTAGGTTGATTGGCTCATACTAAAGATACAATCTCTACGATTCTTGGGCTGCATCTGGAAGGACAAACTCAAGCCATCACAAAGAAACATGTGGGGATGGGCGCTGCAGTTCAGGATAACCTTGACTTCCAGACTCACTGACCCACGACAATGTCATGGTGGACAGTGAGAGCATGCATTCTGGAGAATGGTAAGCTAGGCTCAAGTCTGCTCTCCTCCTCCTAATTGCGTCATCTTTGACCAATTACTCCACTTGGCTACATTCTCCGTTGCCAATCAGTACAATGGGGATGGTAATTGTGCCTTCCCTGTAGTGCTGCTACTGGTTGTTAGATTAGGTAATGCGATGTTTGGTTCTAGACATATAGGAAATATTCAGTATAATTAAGTTGGTATTATTACTGGTCAGTACCTAAAATCAATACCATACACCTTACAGCTGTGTCTTTCTTACTATTACCTAATGAATAGACTTAATATTTTTTTCAGATAAGGAATTTGGGTTGCTACTCTTGTATTTGGCTCCTTAGGAAAACAACCCAAAATCTGGATGAGAGATCAATGAATTGGACATTTGAAGCAGCATTCAGTTTTTAGCAAGAAAAAACTGGAGGAGAGAGCTGGAAGTATAGAGCCCTATTTCTTAAATGGCTTTGGACGGGGCAATTCTATTTTCTCTGCAAGGAAGATCAATTATCCAGATGTCAGATTTCTGCCACTTGCTCTTCTACTCGATCCTTTTTCTCTGACTTTTTCATTTCTTTTTCCTTTACCAGTGCTTTCTGAAAGAGTGCATCAAATCTTTCTCCACACCCTGGGCTTAATGTTCTGCAAGGTCAATTTAGCTCTTTGTGGCTTAGAGAGATATTTTCAGTAACATCACAATATTATTAGTTACCTAATTCTTTGCATTTTATTCCCTAATGAAGTCAATTCCTTTTCAAAAATGTCTTCCCATATCTTATCTTTCATTTTTTAATAGTATAAAAGCAACACTCTAAAATATTTGTTTCTCAGAACAAATCTGTGTAAAAATACACTCTTTCAGCTTTATCATGCTATTTTGATTTTTCTTGCCAAAATTTTTTATAGCACTTGACATTGTTTACTTTATGTATTCTTATCTTTCATGGAAGGCTGGTTTATTTTGATCTGTTGTTTGAATAAAAATTAACATGATACATTCTCTTTGGTCTGCTCACTGTTCAGTTGACATTTCTCACTCCTCCTTTGATATTTTATGATTAAAAAGAGATCACATAGATTTATATTCATAGCTTGGTTGTTTAGCAGACAGAGGGGTGGGGAGAAAATGGAGGCGTGGCAGTCCCTGAGGACCAAAGGGGAAACAGTACTTTGTACATTTGTTAAAGTAACCAGGTTCCCCCTTCTAACTTTCTCTTTAACCTAGTGATGGGTTGTAGGTAAATGACATCGTTTTCTTCTCATCTACTTCCTCATCTGGGGAAATGTTTTGTTTAGGAAAATGCCTGTGAGTCAGGATAAATATGTCATTTGTGGGAAGTTGTATTTCTTTCTTTTTTGGTGAAGCACTGAAACCAACTCAACTCTGGGGTATTTTAATTTTTTCTACCATGTTCTTTCTTCTTTCCTCCCTTCTTTTCTTTCATTCTTTGTCTTTTAGGAAAGCATCTTTATTAATTCAGAAAAGCATTCTATCACATTGAGGAAGGGTGATTCATAAAGAATATTCGAGTGAGCAGACATCCCTACCCCTCTTTCTGTTTGAGGTGGTCTTTCTCCTAGGACACTGGTTCAAGGGGTCCATTCTTTTATCCAGTTGTATAATTTTCCATGGCATGGATAATTCATTTAGCCAGTCTCCTCTAGATAAACATTAGGAAGGTTTCTAATCAGTCATTCTTACAAAAATTCTGTAATGAGTATATCTATATCTATGTATTATTCATTTTTCAGGAAGGCAAATATGTCTGTAGAACAAATTCCTAGAAACTGAAGAGCTCAGTTAGATAGTATCTGATTCTGTAATATTGACTGATATTGTCAAATGTAATCCCTAAGATTTTAGAAGTTTATATTCCTGGTGATAAAATTTTGAAATGTTTTCTTCTTTAAAGACTTGCTGGAGTAGTGACTTTTCCAGCTTTTGTATTTTACCTACATTGGTCGGTGATATTATGCTGTCACTTCAATTTGTATTTCTCTTATTGCAAGTGAGATTATCTTTTCATATGACTATGAAGTATTCATAGCTTACTTTCTGTGAAGTCTGTTTATACCCTTTGTTCATTTTTTTTCTTGGGTTGGTGGTCTTTAATAATTGATATAATTTTAGAAGCATTTTATACATTGTTGCAGTTGTTTAATAAGTTGTTTAATTTTTTAAAAATTTATTTTTTGGCTTTGTTTTACCATGTAAAAGACATTTTTAACATCAATCAAAATTATCAGTCCCTTATGGCTTCTGGAATTTGAATATTACTTGGAAGAATTCCTTGAAGTTCATAAATGAATTCTTCCATCTTCTTTCCTATGATTGATTTGGAATTTGTCCTCATATAACACACAACATATAAGCTATGGATTGTATTGCTTTTCTAGATGGCAACCTACTAGAAACAAAAATAGGACACCCATGCCTTTGATCAACACTGTGATTTTAACATTGTCCCTTAGAACAGTTCATGCAATTAGACTAAAGGAAGAGAACAGAGATACAACAATTGCAAAGAAGGCTAAAAGGTTTATCCTTTGTAGATGATATGATTGTATACCTGCAAAATCCAAGGGAATAAACTGAAAAAACTAAAACAATATGAGATTAAATAAAATAGTATGGTAACAATTTTATATATAAAAATCAATAACTTTCATCTACAAATAACAACTAGGTATAAGACCTAATAGAAGAGGAGATCTCATATACAGCAGCGTAAAGAATAAAATACCTAGGAATAAACTTACTAAAGTGTGTGCATACCATATATAAAGAAAAGTTTAGAACACTCTTGAAAGGCACCAAAACACTGCTGAACAAATTGAAAGATATATCATATTTTGGATTGGAATAGTCAATAAAGATATTCTCCCTAAGCTAATTTATATATTGGCACCCCAATAAAAAGATCAATAATATTTTTTGAAATAGTTATGCTGATGCAGAAGAATACATGGAACAATAAATATTAATAGCTAGTAAAATTCTAACATGAACAGACTACCAGATATTAAAGCTGTTGTACAGCTTCAGGATTTAATGTAGTGTGGTACCAGTGCTTAAGGAGACAGATCACAGGAACAAATAAGAAGTTCAGAAATAGACTTCAAATAATGGAGAGTTTTAATTGATAGGGTATAGTCTCAACCAAATGGGGAAAAGATGATGCTGGAATAACTCATTTATTTTAATTGGCGAGAAGTGAATCACCATATAAATGTAGTGAAATTTCTAAAAAGCATCACACAAGCCCCACATTTGGGAAAAGCAAATGAGATGAAAAATGCACACTGGATGTGACTGCTTCCTCAAGGTCAGCAACGAAATAAGTCACTCTTGTGCCCAGAGGAAGCAAGTGACTCAATTGCACCATACTGATCAGGACCAAGGTTGTGTGTGCTCTTTTCCATTCCTGGCTTTATGGAAAGGGAGGGAAAGTAAACTTTGTACACAGACAAAATGGCATAGTTATAATTTCTAGGAATCACTCATAAAAATTGCTTTTAAGTAGTCCGCTGTGTTTATCAAGGAAACAAGGCGATAAAGTACTCGGGACAGTTTGTAAAATACCTGTTTGATGGAGTGTGAAGGCAGCTGTAGAACGACAGGATAGCTGATCTTTACTGTCTTGCAAATCGTTTGTGCTGTTCTGACACGGTCACAGGGGCCACTGCGAGGCCAGCTGTGTGTGCTGCTGATGGCCCTCCTCAGTGCTCCGGAGTTCTCGCAAGCAGCTGGGCTTCGACGCGCAGCTCCAAGTTTCATCTCCAGGTGTTCGTATTCCAGGCTCCTGATTTTATTGCCTCCAATGCTTAATTTCACTTTCGCCCATTTTCTAGGTTAAATTAGAATAAAGTTTCTTCAGATCTTTCTGCAATATTGGGCAGGCGAGCTGTGTTGGGGAAATGAAGTAATTCAGGGTCTTGAAGTCACTTGATTCAGGGTGCAGTATAAATGCAAAGCAGGATGCCTCGTAAAGCAAAATGCTAATTATTTCAGGCAACGCAGATGTTCATTTTAAAGGTACTGGATGCATATCTCCTCTCAGTATCAAGGGCTGGCTCCTGGAGAAGAGCATGCGCCATCGATGGTGTAAACTGAAGAAAACAAATCTCTAGGAAGAATAAAAGCCACTGAGAAAGGAGGGGAGCTGTTGTGCTCAGGAAAGTTAGAAGGCCACCTTCTGGGAGACAGCCAGGCCAAACTGGCAGCAAGAGACACGGTGAAAACATTGGGCTCTAGATTGTCTAAAACACTAATGAGTCATATTCTTGTTTGCTTTCTTTGTGTATGGTTTTGACGTTTACTAAGAGCTTGGAATGCTGCTTAGTGGATCTGGACACAATTCAACCTAAAGTCTGAGAAGTCTTCAAAATAGTTTTTCTTTTCCAGTGTAGGCTTAGGATTTTAACGTGAACTGGGCGTTTAGTTTATACCGATTCATTGTTTATCACAAAGACTTTGGACATGCTTAAATGTTCACAGAGAACCTGATTTCCTTTCATCCACCAGTAAGATTAAGCCAGTCTTTTGATTTATTTATTTGTATCACACAACCCACAAGGAGGTTTTTATTTTTTTGGTACCAGGGATCGAACTCAGGACCTTGTGCTTGCAAGGCAGGCGCAGTGCCACTGAGCTAAATCCCCGGGCCACAAGGAGGTTTTTAGAAAGGGAGCTTCAGTTTGGGCTAAGAGACTAGAGGAAGATGTATGGGGCATGACAGGAAAAGGAGACAGATGCCCACTCTGAGGGTACGCAAAGAGGCTCCCATAGAGTGTAAGGGTTTTTCTGCAGCAGTGTCAAGAGAGGGGCCCTCATAAATTGCATAACTTTTGTTATCAGGATGGGGGCGTATATCAGTTCACAGAATTTAATTCTTGGCATCTAAGACAGGGATATTTAAGTAACATAGTGTATTATGTCTTTGATGAGAAATTTTTTTTTTCAAAAAATGAAGAAAGAGCTAAGAGACAACCTACAATGTGGGAAAAAATTTTCAACAACTGTACCTTAGACAAAGGACTACTATCTAGAATATATAAAGAACTGAAAAAATTCAGACCCCCTAAATTCAAAGACCCAATTCAAAAATGGGCATCTGAAATGAACAGACGATTCTCAGACAAAGAAGTAAAAGCAGCAAATAAACATATGAAAAAATGTTCAACATCACTGGTCATTTGAGAGATGCAGATGAAAACAACGCTGAGATTCTACCTCACCCAAGAAAGAACGGCTGCTATCAAGAAATCAACCAATAACAAATGCTGGTGGGGCTGTGGGGAGAAAGGAACCCTTCTCCATTGTTGGTGAGAGTGTAGACTGGTGCAACCACTGTGGAAATCAGTGTGGAGAGACCTCGAAGAACTAGGGCTACCGGTCCCATTCGACCCAGCTATCCCCCTGCTAGGTATCTTCCCAAAAGAATCATACCACAGTGATATATGTGCACCCATGTTTATAGCGGCTCAGTTTGTAATAGCTGAAGCTTGGAAGCAGCCCAAGTGCCCATCAACTGGAAACTGGATAAAGAAGATGTGGTTATTTTATAAAATGGAGTACTACTCAGCCATAAAGAACGAGACACTAGTGACATTTATAGCTAAATGGATGCATATTTAGGCCATCCTTTTAAGTGAAATAAATAGGACCAACATGTGTAAATACTGAATAGTTTTTCTGGTGTGAGAAACTGAAAGTGTAAATAAGGATAAACACAGATGAAATGGCCTAATGACATATTTCTTGGAATGTGTTTCCATTGCGTGTCATATGACTCTATCGAAATTTAAATTAGGGTGAAGTTTGGCTTATGTGGAGTCTGCTAGCTAACTGGAGTTTTTTTTTTCCAGACCACTACTTGTTCAATGTTGGTTCTGGGGATTCTGAAACAAATCACATCCTCTGGTGTCCTTTTGGTGCTTGAGATGTTTTTTAAAGTTATACGGAAAAATGTTTAAATGCTTTTCAGTTTTGTTTTGGTTGAGTGCTACTGTATTTGAATATTATTGTAGTTTTTTTTCCCTTGCATTGTTCTTCTTTGAATGGTTTTAATTTCTGTATGTGTGTGTTTGATAATAAAGTTATTTTTAAATAAAATGAAGAAATGTGTAAAACAAATGTGACTCCATTCTGAAAATTGTAATATCCTCTTAAAGAATATAGAAGAAAAAAAAACCCAAAAAGAATCTGCAACATGCCAAATATGCAGTGCTAGGTGCTATTATTTTGTGGCAGATTTCTTTACCTAGATATCACAAAGAACTCAAGTCCAAGATGAATATTAAAAAACCCCTAATATTCTAGATGATTCTAAAATCCATCCTAGAGAGAAATATCTTATCATTTCAACTAAAAAGGTGCTCTATATAGAATGACTTCTTGATTGTTTTTCCTGACATACTCCATTATTTATGTCTATAATTCTATTTTATCTAGCTTTTATGTCTATAATTCTATTCTATCTAGCATAATTCCATCTTTAATGTTAAGTGAAATAAATCAGACACACGAGCATATATATCTCATTGTTTCTCTTAAATGAGAAACCCCAAGTATAAATAAAGAGCAAAATAAAAGATGGATGAGAGGAAGTAGGGAGAGAGATCTTCCTAAATGGGAAGGGATCAGAGATGGAGGGGAAGGGGATAAAACAGGAATTAGGGTGAGCTGTGTACATGAACCAACTGCACACAAGGAATGTGCTCAGTATGAAACGCAAACACGCATTCATTAAAAATAAAAATTGAAAAAAAGAAAAGTAAAGAAAAAGTAGGATGTGCAAATCTCCTGCTAGAAATGGCAAACCTGGGCCAAAGCCCCCGCGCAGGGCAGTGCAGTGGCGTGGGAGGCCAGCTCTCTCCTGGGTTCTGCAGGCCCCTCCCTCACTCAGAGGTGACTGAAGGAGAAGCAGTCAGCCGGACGCGGCCTTCTCCTGTCCTCCTTCAGCCTTTACCTTTGCGAGGTACCTGGCTGCCGTCCCTTCCCCCTCCACCCGCCCTTCTGGCCACAGCCTCCCTCTTTCCCTGGGTCACCTGTATCACCTCCTTGTCTCCCTGCACATGGCCTTGCTCTACCTGAATTGATTGGCACCAAGGCCAGAGACCTCTTGGCACAAAGGAAATCAGATTATGTCATTTCTTGCTTAAAACCCTTCCAAGGCCCCCAGTGCTCCTCAAGGAAGCTCAGACTCCTTGATGCGGCTCAGCAGACCTCATGTGATGTCATCCCACTTTCCTCCTTAGCCTCACTTTAACAGTGTACCCGAGCTTCCCTTCTCCAGCCTACGGTACTGAGTACACAGGAGCAGCACAGGCTGGGCTGAGACCATTCAGATTCAAACGCCAACTTTGTCACTGGGTAAGACCAAGACCTGAGGCAGAACACTGAACTATTCAGTCTCACTTTCCAGTCTCTCACTGGGATGATGATGGAATTCCTGTGAGGATCACACGAATCAAAGAGCATGAAGCACTCAGAACAATGCTGGGCATAACTGGGAAACATCACCTCCTACCAGCGTCACCACTGGCACATGGCACTGAAAAGGTCATCATGGGCCCCTCACCTCTGTGATTCAAAATAAAAACAATTCCAAATTGTGAAGCATGTGTAAGGCAAGAAAGTCTAACAGCACTAAGATTCCACTTCACCCAGAAAGAATGGCTGCTATCATGAAATCAACCAATAACAAATGCTGGCAGGGCTGTGGGGAGAAAGGAACCCTTCTCCATTGTTGGTGGGAGTGCAGACTGGTGCAACTACTATGGAAATCAGTATGGAGATACCTCGAAGAACTAGGGCTCGAGGTCCCATTTGACCCAGCTATCCCCCTGCTGGGTATCTTCCCCAAAGAATTAAAAGAATCATATCACAGTGATATATGTGCACCCATGTTTATAGTGGCACAGTTTGTAATAGCGAAAGCTTGGAAACAGCTCAAGTGCCCATCAACTGGAAACTGGATAAAGAAGATGTGGGTTTTTTATAAAATGGAGTACTACTCAGCCATAAAGAATGAGAAACTAGAGTCATTTATAGCTAAATGGATGCATATTGAGGCTATCCTCTTAAGTGAAATAAACAGGACATACATATGTAAATATCAAATAGTTTCTCTGGTTGAGACATTGAAACTGTAAATAAGGATTAAAAATATTGAAATGAATAATTGATAATTTGAAATAGGAAGAAAAAGTCCAAAAGGGTAGGGGAAGTAGGAGGGGAAGGGGAAAGGAAAGAAGGGAAAGGAAAAATTATGAGAAAAGAAAAAAATGGAAACAAAGTCTATGTAAATAGGGAAGGATGGAGGGGGTGAAGGGCACATAGGTAATGGGGAAAAAATAAGAACCAAGACACATCATGTACAGGTACAGGCACCCAATGATAAATGTAAACATATTGCATACCTAAAATGTACCAATAAAAGAATTTAAGCAAAAAAACCCATTCTGGGTCATTATAAGAAGTTGCCCATGTAAAAGTAAAGACACAAAGAAAATTGCTATTATTATGGCTTAGATCTAAAATGTCCTCCTAGGGCTGGGGATTTAGCTCAGTGGCACCATGCCTGCCTGGCAAGCATAAGATTCTGAGTTTGACTCCCAGTACCAAAAAATTTAAAAATTAAATTAAAAAAAATAAGAAAGTCTAACAAAGGTGTGGGTTTTTGCAATGATCTGTTTAGAAAGAAAATACTAGACTCTAAAGAAAAAGAAGAAGAAATATTGTTGCCCCCGCCTTGTGGGTGAATTGACCCCACATGGAATCCTAGCTTTTGCTTCACTGAATGCTTTTCCTTCTTTCTAGAACATTCTTCTGACCCACAACTACCTCTTGTCCAGCAAACTCTTGCTCCTGTAGGTCTCAGGTTACTAGTGACTCAGCCCTTTGCTTAAGCGCTGTCTGCATGCTGTGTCCTCCCAGTTTTATACCTACCATCCCAGGCCATAGTTTCCCCTTACTTGTGTCTTCCACCACTTTTATCTCAGTTCTGCTTTTATTCTCTGTGCCGGGCATGGCATGTGCTCAGTAAATCAGTGTCAGTCGTCATCTCTTCAAGACAGAAATAATGATAGTAGATTTGCCTTTTTAAAAAAGTATTTATTTATTTATTTATTCCTTCTGATGGTGTGACTCCGTCCTAAACACCTATTAAAACCCAAAGAATTATTAGCATAGTATTTCTATTTTTTCCAATTCTACAAATATGGCAAAGAGTTTTCCAGTACTCTTAAAGCCTTTTGAAAATGTGAAGGAGAATTTTCTTTGCTCTGGGTTAAGAGAAGTGGGTACAAAGACGTTGCCTGTGGCTCTATTGTCCTAAGCCTACTCTGATGATGGGAACCTCAATCTGGGCCTGACTGGCAAAGGAAGAATGGCCAAGTAAGAGCCCTCGGACCATGGTTGTAGGGCACTTATGTGTCCCAGGCAAACAGAGCGATTCCTGTGTTTCAGACGTGAAGGCCCCTGGGAAGGCCCTGATTCCCTGTTTGGCAGTTAGGCTCTGAGATTTCATCTCGCCATTATAAATTATTCAACAAACATTCATAAGTTCTTCCTGGGAGGTTTGTACTAGTGCCTGCAGAGGCATTATGTGATACACAAAGATGCGGGCCTGCTCTTCAGAAGTGTAATCCAGATATCACCCGGACCCCACATCTTCAGGGAAATCCAACACCTGCCTTAGGAGCTTTGCAAATGTCTAGGGAGCTCTGGTTCATCTAATCATCTTGGGCCCTGATGTCTTCCTGACAGTGGATTTTTATTGTTTATTTTGTGTCTTGTGGCTTTTCCTTTTGCTCTGCTGTGGATTCGACTCAGACGGGGCACTGTTTCTTCTCCACCTTTCTTTCCCTCACACTCATAATATCACTGTGGGAAGCAGCTGCGTGTTGTAGCATGTGACTGAAGAAACAAGTAAAGGTGAGAGAAGCTGTATGGCATTCCAGAGGCAGAGG